GTAGTTTGCCTTAAATAACATTAAATCACATGGTTAGAAATTTCTTCCCTTTTAAATTCTCATTCAACCTAGTTATGTCAAGGAGAAATTTCCAGAGTGGTGCTGGCGTGTCCTTAACAATGATCTAGTAGTTCCTAATCTTTGTAACACAAAGAGCACTTTGGGCTTGGAATCTTTGGCAAGAACTGATATCTAGCTAGAATTTTATAACATTATTTTGTTTTCATTGTATTTATTTTTAACTTAGCTTCTATTTGTGGCAGGTGATACTGATTTTCCCTTTACAGTTATGATATAAAGTCAGGCCTATTAAGCTATAATTCGTGTTCAGTAAAATTCACTCTTTTAGTGAGTAATTCTATGAGCTTTCACTAAAGTACAGAGTATATACTATCATAGTCAAGAAAGAAAATATTTCTATCAACCCAAGAAGTTCCCTCCTGCCTCTGTAGATAGTTCCTCCTCCCACCCTCAGTTCACTACTGATCTATTTTCTGTCCCGACAGTTTTGCCTTTTCCAAAATATCATATAAATGGAAAAATACAGTATTTTTCTTTTTGAGCCTGCCTTCTTTCACTTAGCATAATGTATTTACCATTCATCCATGTCACTGCATGTGTCAAGTACTTTGTTCCTTTTTGTTACTGAGTAGCATTTTGTTTTGAAAAGATGTACCACAGCTTATCCATCCACTGATTGAAAGATATTTGTAGGGCTGGGGATTTAGCTCAGTGGTTCCGCTGCCTTCCTTGCAGGTGCAAGGACCTGAGTTCGATCCCCGGTACCAAAAAAAAAAAAGAAAGATATTTGTGGCCAGGCATGGTGGTGCATGCGTGTGATCCCAGCACTTGGGAGGCTGATGCAGGAGGATCACTGAAAGTTCAAGGCCAGACTGAACTACATAGCAAGACCCTGTCTCAGTGGTTTCGCTGCCTTCTGCGCAAGCGCAAGGACCTGAGTTCAATCCCCGGTACCAAAAAAAAAAAAAGATATTTATGTTGTTTCCAATTTGGGGCAATTATGAATAAAGGTGCTATAAATATGTACAGGTTTTTGTGAAAATATAGCTTTCATTTCTTTACAAGTATGATTGCCAAGTCAACTGGCAAGCATAGTATATATTTGAATTAATTTTTTTGCATTTAAAAAATTTTATTGGTACATTTTAGATATACATAATGATAACATTCATCATAGGGAATTTGTACCTGTACATGATATATCTTGCTTCTTTTTTTTCCCCTCTTTTTTTCCCATTCCCCTCCCCTTATGTTTGAATTTATAAGAAATGGCCAAACTTTTTCAAAATTTCTGTGTTATTTTCTCATCAACAATGTATGTTCTAAGTTATTCTACAACTCATTTCTTTTTTAAATGAGTTGATTTTTAAAAAAATTAATAAATGGTAGCTTAGGTAGCAAGGTAGTACATGGCATAATATGTAGATATGCAAAAATTATACTTTCTTACTCCTTAGATATTAGTTTATTACCATTTTACAGATAAGGAAACCAAGAATTGAAAAGGCCAAGTTGCAGAACTGGTTAGTTGTCTGGATTTAAACCCGGTTCTGCCTGAGTGTCATATTTTTAATTATATAGGGTCTTATTATAAGTCCTTAAGCCAAATTTGAACTTTTAAACCTCTATAACTTAGAGTGCAAGTGCTAGAAGTAATTTTTACCACAATCTTTTTTTTTTTGGTACCAGGATCGAACTCAGGACCTTGTGCTTGTGAGGCAGGCAGCAGAACCACTGAGCTACATCCCTGGCCCTAGAAGTAATTTTTAAAAGTTTTTTTTTTTTCTTTTTTAGTACCGGGGATCGAACTCGAGACCTTGCACTTGCGAGGCAGGTGACAGAACCACTGAGCTAAATCCCTGGCCCTAGAAGGTTTGATAATAAGCTGTGACTTTAACTTTCACAACTGATAGTACTTCAATTCTGTGGAGCATAAAAATGTGCTTTATCTCTTTCTGATGCTCCAGAGAGTTGGTTGCTCTTTCCTTCACTTGACGCACACCTCTATCATGTAATTTATGCTCGGGGCTGTAATGATCTATTCTCAAGTTCCCCTTTCCTCTGACTCTCCATTCCTTCTGGATGGGGACTGAGTTCTTCTTTGTCTCTCTAACACCTAGCACAAGACCTATCACATGGGAGACATTCATTCAGTCATCATTGAAAAAATGACTGACTTTTTTGATTTTTGGTTTTTAGACTGGGTCTCACTGTGTAGTTCAGGCTGGCCTTGAACTTAGTACTTAGTCCAGACTGGTCTTGAACTCACAGTGACATTCCTGCCTCAGCTTCCTGAGTGCTGGGTTTATAGGCATGTGCCACTATGCCCGGAAGAATAGCAGATTTTTGAATATGACTACACAATCTAGTTGTATTGCATACATTTCTAATATTTAATAAAGTGCTTTTAAATGATTGAACCTCTTCTTGCTATGTGGTGGGCACTATACTAGATTCTAACTAGAGGATCCTATGATAATTTCAGGGAGCATACACACACACGGTGCACGCACACAGATATACACACTGAGGGAAATAATTATACAGTCATGTGGAGAGTGGTACATGGAAGATAAAGTGCAACATTAGCTCAGGATGGAAGAGTAGCATAATAAACAGTGTTTCTCAGAGTATTACTCCAAGAAAATATCAGGAGTTTATGCCAAAGTATACATTAATACTTTGCTTCCTTTATCAAGAAAGTTTTGCTATTAAGAAAAAAAAAAAGCTTGCTAAGGGCTGTGGATATAGCTCAGTCATAGAGCCCTTGCCTAGCATACTTGAGACTCTGGGTTCAATCCCTAGTACCAAAAAAAAAAGCTGAATTAAACAGTGTGTTGAGTGACTGGTGCACATTTCTTATCGGACTAATAACAATTTGTTTACTGGCAGCTTGTCTCTGGCCCACACTTAAAATAACAATAAGTGCCAGGGATTTAGTTCAGTGGTGCCACCACCTGCCTTGCAAGTGCAAGGACCCAAGTTCGATCCCCGGTACCAAAATAAAAAACAAAAACAAGAATACAAGCTTTGGAATCAAACTGTCTGCATTCAGATTATTAGCAATAGCCGGGTATGGTGGTGCATGCCTGTAATCCCAGCACTCTGGAGGCTGAGGCAGGAGGATCACCTCAGGTTTGAGGCCAGCCTGGGCTACATAATGAGTGAGACCCTGTCTCAAACAAAAAACACACATACATTAAATGATTAGCAATTATGACCTTGGAAAATTCTGAACCTCAGTTTCCGTATCTGTGTAATAACTTCTCTTTATAACATGCAGTCTCTATCCTTCTAGTCATTTGACTATGATTGGTCATTGCTCTTAGACTTTAAGCTCTGTAAGGGAAAGACTGTTTTTGCCATTAGGGCCTAACCTCAGGACCTGGCCTACCACCTGGCACATTAAAGGTACAGAATAAATATTTGTTGATTCGGATTGAGTTCTCACCAGAATGGACATGATTCCTAGGATAGCAAGATGAATGATGTGCTGCTTTTTGCCTCTTTTCTGGTTCTTTGCTCCAAATAGCTCAGAGCATAAAGAGCTGTTTGTCCTTAACAACTCACTTTTCTGCATTGACTGAGGTTTTCATACTATTATATTGTTAGGCATTGTCACTGCCCTGCCTCTCAGAGCAGATATTATTTTCTTCTGATTTTCATTTCACTCTGATCCATTTTCATTTTTTCTCTGCAGCTGAGTGGTGGAGGGTACAGGGATGCTGGTGGTGACCTTGAGTTGGAATTGGGCTAGAAAGCAGTGTGTGGCCTTTGTTCTGTACTTGATCTGCATTGTAGCAGCTGTAACTCGTGCAAGAAAGGAGAGAAAGAGACCTCTCCTGTGCATCTCTTAATTGACTTGCATTCCTTTTCCTAGAGAGATGGAAATCATATTCCTCTGGGAGCAGCTTCCAAGCCCGAGATGAACTGGCCCCTTGTGCTCTGTGAGGAGTGAAAGCGTCACTCACTGTGACACTACACTTTCATTTTTTTATCTTTAAAAATTTTCTTTAATATTTATTTATGTACTTATTTTTGTGGTCCCAGGAATTGAACTCAGGGCTTTCACTAAGCTACATCCCCAGCCCTTTTTAATTTTTTTAATTTTGAGAGAAGATCTTGCTAAATCACTAAACTCCCCCTTGCTAGGGATCCTCCTGGCTCAGGCAGCATGCTGGGATTACGGTATGCAGCACCATGCCCAGGCTGTTTTTATTTATTTTTAAAATCCACTTATATTTTTCGAAATCACATCCACAGATTCTGAGTCTCTCGTACTCCAGCAGGTTCCTATATCCCTCTCTAGCTGCTACTCTCCAAAAATAGCACTGTCATGTTGGGTTAAGTCTTGAAATTCAGTTCTTTCATTTTTAACCTTCTGTTTTTTACTGTCTGACAATCCAAGTAATGTTTATTGTAAAAAATTGGAAAGCACAGAAAAATGACCTGTACTTTTACTTTACTAAATGACCTATTCTACTTTGAAATGACAGAGTTCCCTATATTTCTTTATCAAACTGTGTCTAGTTTTCTTTTGGCTCTTGGAGGGCCCCTCTTGCCTTTGCAAATGTGGCTGCCCTTTCTTGGAATGATCTCCAGGCAAGCATGCTTATTCTCTGCCTCTTGAAAAATCACTACCTCACCAGTGAAGCTTTCCTTCAGCCCCTCTCCTCTTCCTGTCCCTACACTGTTCAGCACATACTATTACTATCTTTGTTTTGCTGTGGTGCAGATATTTATCTATCTCTGAAACACTCTTAGTGAGCTCCTTGAATGTATACACTGCTTTTGCCTCCAGAGTACTTGGGACTGAACAGGTTGTTAGCAGAGTCTCACTTTGTAGTTCAGGGTGGTCTTGCACTCACTAGGTAGCCCAGGCTGGCCTCGAACTCACAGTGATCCTCCTGCCTCAGCCTTCCAAGCACTGGGATTACATCACTGCACTTGGCTTCAAGTGCTTTTTTTTTTTTTTTACTTTTTGAAGGCTTTTATATAATTATTTGATCTTCCATAAGAAGTCCATGATTGTATTCTCTTTTATATGAGGAAGTTATCAACTATTTGAATTGCAAGAAGAGGGAGTCAGAGATCATGTTGAAAAGCAGAAAGAGATGTTAGTTAGAGGCTACCTGAACAAGTGCAATACCCAACATTTGCTGACTATTTACAAGGGCAAAGGAATCTGTACCAGACAGATTACTTACATAACCTAGTTCAATCATTGCAGTAACCCTGTGAACTAGTTATTATGATTCCTGTTTTGTAAGTGAAGAAACTGAGATACAGTGCTAAATTAATTTGTCCAAGTTCAAGCAGGAAACAAGCACAGCCAGTATTCAAATCAAGGACCATCATGTTTCTGTTCCATTTTCTGTTATACTCGACTTCCTTTTGCAGAGGTCTGTCTACAGACGTCCATTCCCCTTGCTATTAAATGATGAAACTTTGTGAGTCTAAAAAATCAGGAATCGGAGTGAGAGCCAGCGTCGCGCATCTCGGCAGAGCTGCAGGACCTCTTAAGGCAGCCACAGAGGGCTGTCCAGGGCCGGGCAGGATTATTCAAGATAAAGTTGCAGCCATTTTTGATGAGGATCAATGATCAAAATTGTTCTTTTTAAAAAGACATTTCCAAGTTAAACATGAGAGAAAGGTAGTGGAATCATTTCACTTCCGACAGGATAAAGTGTACAGTATTTCACCGTCCCTTATAATGGAACCTTTATAAGATTCATCGCTTGTCATGCACCCAACTGGGAACATGGATGTTGGTTTTTCTCGTTCTGCTGTTCAGACACTGTCAAGAAGCCACTGCAAAAACATCAAACAAAAAATTTCTCAGTGGGAAAGAAGGACTAATGGTACATCTAATCCAGCTAAGTGGCATCCAAAGGACTTTGGAGTGAGGTACAACTATCACCAAGAGATTCTTCCTCAGAAAACGCCTGTTGCTGAGGGAAAGAACAAAAAGTTGGGAGTAACTAACTCTCAAAATGTGGGTTTAGATATGAACAAAAGCCATGATCTAAGTGAGGATGAAAATGAGAAACATGAATATTACGATACACGCATATTTAAAAATGAATCAGAATCCAATTGGGTATGTTCAAAGGTCAAACAGACAGAAAGCTGGAAAGAAGTTGTGTTAGGTCAAGAGACTTCATTACCTCAAGGAAACTTTTACACCTCACAAATATTGTGGAAGAAAATAGAAGCACTTCCCCCAGATAAAGTCATAAATTTGGCTTTGGAACATTGTGGCCCTCCAGAAAAAAAACTGAATTGTAGCATTCTGAATAGTTCATATGGAATAACCAAGAGCTTAGAAAATATTTACTCTAAACCTGAGGGTCAAGAATGTGGACCTTCTATAAATCCTTTGCCAAAACCACATAGGACATTCAGATACTTATCTGAATCTGGTGTTATGCCATATAAAGAAAGAAACTGTGACAAAAAATGCTGTGAAAATAATTCTTGTGCAGAATCTACTTTGGCCTCTTCTCAGGAACCTGAACCAAAGAAATATGGTGGAAAAATTAGAAGGAGATCTAAAAGGAAATCCTTTGAATTTGAGGATATTCAGCACTTTTGAAATCAGAATTCACAGAAGATTCATGAAGAACTTGGGAGAAATTCTGGTTCAGCACTTTATTATACACAATCAGAGGATAATATCTATGAAGACATCATATTTCCCACCAAAGAAAATCCATATGAAGATATTCCAGTGCAGCCTTTGCCCTTGTGGAGATCCCCTTCAGCATAGAAGTTGCCACCCCCTAAAAGTGCTTTCAAAACACCCAAGCTTCCTCACAAACCACAGTTCCTTCACCGGAAGACTGTAGAACTGAAGAACTCGCAAACTTATTTACAGTCAAAGCTTACGAAGGATACCACTTTGCCTGTCACTTTAACTGAATGGAAACTTTTCCAAGCTAGAGAAGTTGCAAACAGAAAAAGGAGAAATCTTCCAAGGCTTGTATTGAAAATAGATGATGTATTTCAGTCTAAGCGAGGAAAGAAGAAGGTAAAGTTACACCCTGACACTGGAAAGGAAGTACCTCCTTCAAAAGGAAACCAGTGGGAATGAAAGTGATGGCGAGTATCTGCCAAAGAATCGCCACAAGCGCTTAGCACAACTGCAGCAGCCTTCCAAGAGGAATCCTCACTACCAGACCTTGGAGCAGGATCTTATTGAACTGCAAGAGCAGCAGTTGTTTGAACTTTCTGTGGTGGTGTCTCTGCAGAAGCAGCCGTCAGGAATAAGCTACACTCCCCAGGTCATACAGCAGTTCCCTAGCAAGGGTGATCATGGCTATAAGCAATCAAAAGACACTGAAGAATGGCTCAAAGTTATCCCAAAATTTTGTTTTCTGGATTCAGAGGACTGGGTGCCAACCTCAGAACTCAAGAGTGAAACTTTCTTGTTCGTTTTGACTGGTGTAGATGGAAGCTGGTGGTTTGGTTACTGTAAGAAGCTCTTGCCAGAAAGCAAAGGAAAGCAACTCCCTGAGGTGTACTGCATGGTTAGTCGCCTAGGCTGCTTCAATCTGTTTTCAAAGATTCTGGATGAAGTAGAGAAGAGAAGAGAAATGTCTCCAGCCCTCGTTTACCCGTTCATGCGAAGTGTCATGGAGGCCCCTTTCCCAGCTCCCGGACGTAACATCACAGTCAAGAGCTACCTCCCTGGGGCTGGAGATGGGTCCATTGAACTCTGCCGACCACTAGATTCACAATTGGAACATGTGGATTTTGAATGCCTTTTTAAGTGCTTGAGCGTGTGCCATCTCATCCGGGTCTGTGCCTCTCTCCTTTTGGAGCGGAGGGTAATCTTTGTTGCCAACAGCCTAAGCACACTGTCAAAATGTGGTCATGCCGTGGTAGCCACCCTGTATCCATTCACTTGGCAGCATACCTACATCCCAGTCCTGCCAGCATCCATGATCGACATCATGTGCTCACCTACCCCTTTCCTCATCGGGATCCTGCCTTTCTCCTTACCGCAGCTGCAGGACCTGCCCATTGAAGAGGTGCCGATAGTTGATCTCTGTGCTGACAAGTTCTTACAGGAAGTGTCTGATGAGAATGAAATTCTACCACCTAAACTTCAAGCTGCCTTGATACAGATTTTAGAAGAACGAAATGAAATCTTATCTCAGGAGAAGATTTTTTTCACAAGATGTTACGCTCACTTCTCTGGTGTCTGAAGCATTTGTGAAGTTTTTTGTGGAGCTGGTGGGACATTATTCTTTGAACATGACTGTCACTGAGCACGGGGGGTATGTATTCCAAAGGGAGCCATTCCGCAAGTCCCACACATCCCGAAGTGTTCGCCATTTCCTAGATCTCTTCATGGAGACTCAGATGTTTGCAGGATTCATCCAGGACTGGGAGCTTCGGAAAAGTGGGGTTAAAGGTTTGTTTGAGGTTAGGGCTCTCCAGTATTTGGAAACAATTCCTGAGTCTGAGCCTAGTGGGGTGAATAGAATTTTGCGGAGTCTTGGAGTGAAAATGAAATTTTTGCAGAAGAAATGAATCTTTGTCTCCATCTTAAATAGAATGAAAAGTGCCAAAAAAAAAAGTTTCTCTGAGGGTCAGGATGCCTTTGAAGTATTCTACAAAATCTTTGAAATTTTAAAAGGTTAAGAAGCAGCTCTAAGTTCTCAGAGGAAGAGTTCGTTTTGCTGTGGCACAGTCACTGGAGAACTGTTGGAAGTAACTGGAACTGATGCTCTCTACTGCCACCAACATGTTTTTCACTGTGGCCTCTTCTATTTGATTCTTGGGCTCATTCTCTGTGTTATATGCTTAGTCTGTGACAGCCATTGTCTTTACAAGGGAAAGGCTGTTATTGAATATTTTTAAAAATAAAAAGCTTAAAGATGAGTCTAATGAAAGAAAGGCTGGGTTTGGTGAACTAGAGACACACGATTGAAATGATAGAGATTAGCCTTACACACATAATTCTCATCACTGAATTACCATGGCAGCTTTAAACTCATGGGCTAAAAGCTGGGCTCTTCGGCACATACCTGTAGTTCCAGCTACTTGGGAGGCTGAGGCAGAAAGATCACAAATTTTGAGTCCACCCTGCGCAACAGAATGAGACCTTGTCTCAAAATAAAAATGTTGGTAAAGCCATGGGTTGTTTGAAGTTTCATCATTTCTCTTTTTTTGTCTAATATCCTATCAAAGGGAATCTCTCTTATGTGGAAGCCCTTGTTATCAGATATTTATAAAAGAAGACGAGTTCTGACTCTAATCAGTAACTTCATTAACCTAACAAAGTTACCTTGCCAGGGTGAATTTACAATGTATATGGCCTATCCTGTGTCTATGACTTGTAAATAGGAACTGGAATTGTATTTACATATCAAAGACCACTAGGGATGAGATAATGGCTAAAAAGGATATAAAAAGGGAAATGCTGAACAAAGGGGGCTCAGATATTGACCAGACTGGTTTCTGGCATTCTTGTCCGCTCACGAGAAGAAATTTTATTATTTTATCCGGAAAAAAAAAAAAAGAAGATGTGTTGCAGCTCCTCCACAATGTATGACCCTTGAATCAGCTTGTCCCTCACATGCCATTATTACACTTTGCATATTATAGCTAATATAAAAATATCCTTTCAAGGACATGGGAACTACCTTTTTTGTACGCGTTCACCATTTGGTGTGCATCGTGGTATATGTATATATGTCATCTTATTCAAGCCTTAAGTCAACTCTATGAGAGAGATATTTCCATCTCCATTTTACTGATGATGAAGAAACTAAGTCAAAGAGACTTCTTAGCCAGTTATATAATTCAGATATATGTGAAGCAAAGACTTATTTTATGAACACAAAAACTTGTTTAGAGATAAAAATATGAACTCTGTAGGATTGTAGCTATTTGAAAGGTTTTCTGTTACGTGTACCAGAGCCACCTCTCAGCTCTTAGGATAAAGAACTTTAGATTACAAGCACCTAGATGAGGCTTTCTCCCCCTGCCCCCTTTTGGGTGTACTGGGAGTAGAATCCAGGTTTTTGCACATGCTAGGCGAATGCTGTACCACTCAACTACACTCCCAGTGTTAGACTTTTCTTTTTTGACAGTACTAAGGACTGGACCCAGGGCCTTTGCACTGAGCTACACATCACCAGCACCTTTTCATTTTGAGGCAGGGTCTCACCAAATTGCCTAGCCTGGCTTCCAACTTTTGATCCTCCTGCTTCAGCCTCCCAGAGTGCTAGGATTATAGTTACGCACCACCACACTCAACCCACTGTGAGATTCCCCTAAAATTGTTGGACTTTTGCTTTAATTAAATGTGACTCAGAATTTGAACATTTCCTGAGCATATACCACAATCACCCAGATCTTTAATATCTAAAGCAGCAGTAGTGATAAAGGGGTTTGTCAGTGATGTGATATTCGTTGATAAGTGTTATAGGAAATGTCAGCTTTGCTTTAACTTTTGTTAATGGTTTTAACTGGTAAAGAATATATTTATTCAAATTTATAAAACCTTTTAAATTGTATTGTCATAACAATTTTTTGACTTGTATAGTATTATCAATAAAACCCCATCAAGTGTGCTTAAATGAGTCTGAAGCAGACACCACTTAAAACTCGTGCTGTGTAATATAGTTCTACAGATGCGGTTCCAGGGACCAGAACTGGGCCTGTGTCTTTTAAAATGATTAAGCAGCTTACCCAAGTGGGGCATCTGTCAAACATCTCCCCATTTGGTCTCTTACACTCCAGGAACAATTAGTGATTGAGGGTTTATAAAATGGGGACAGGAGGGTTGACTGGGGGATCCTGTCTCCCTCTGCAAGGAGGCTTTACTTCAGGGATGAGAGTGTGATATTCTCCCTGTGATCCGAACCTGCTTCCTTTCCTTGTGTCTGTTGTGTTTTGATTTTTGTAAAGTATTGTGAATTCTGAATGTTTGTAAAAGAACTGCTTGAGAATTGTATAAAATGTTTATAGATCTTTTAATGAATAAATACATAAGTCTCACAAAAAAATCAGGAATCTTTTGTCATTATTGCTATTTTTATCTTTAATTTGATAAACTTTTTGTAAGATGAACAAAACACAAATAGTATATTTATATTTATACATATTTATATGTATTTTATAATTTATAACACATTTATATATCATATTTATAATTTATACATATATGTTTTTTTATATATATATATATATACACACAGAAATATTTATATTTCTGTGTAGCTGTCAGTTCAGTCTTCTCACCACATACAATCCACACAATTGTGTATATGGGGCCAGACTGTAATTTCATTTACACATGAAGAATCTGAGGCCCAGAAAGGAGAGTGACTTACTTAATAAATGACAGGGCCAATACTTGACTCCAAGTCCAATGTTCTCAGTGTAGCATGTGGATCTGCTGAAGCTGATTACAGTAAGGAGACTCTCAACCATGGATCGCCACCCAGATGACTAAGACAATGTCTAGAGAAAATTTTGATTGTCATCATTTGAGAGTACCAGTAGCATCCAGTGTGTAGAGGCAGAGATGTACAGACCAGCCCCCACAACAAAGAACTATCTGGTCTAGAATGTCAGTAGCACGAAGTTGAGAACTCCTATTCCGGAACAATTGGATTTTATGCCTTATTTTTCTAGAACAAGTGAAATACCAAGGTTAACCTCTGAAGTATACCTAGTGATGGGTTTGATTACTGTAGAACTGGCTCTTCTTCAGTGGCAGCAAATGTTTATTAATCACTAGATTTTATTCAGGGTATTGTATTAAGCATGTATTAAGCATGTGTTAAGGATGCAGGAGGTGTTAGACATGGTCCATTCCCTCAGGAAATTTAGAGACTTCTGGAGGAGGTAGAGGGGATCTGGTTACTTTGCTTCTGGCTGCATGCAGCTAAGCATCCCCTAGGTTCTAGGGCTACTACCTGCAGTGGTGCTATATTTGATGACCCTGATTCAAGTGGTGCTGCTGGCTTGTGTGTCCACTCCTAACAGCTGATTCTTGTCCCACAGTTATGCAATGCCCACCAAAACCATGGAAGTGATGCGGCTGCAGGACCAAGGCAACAAAATGTTACTGGACTCAGTCCTTACCATCCATGAGCGAGTAGTTCAGGTATGCTTTAGGGGAAATTGATGTGTGTTTGCCTCTCTGGCTCTTCTCTCCTTCCATTTTCTCCCATTATGTCATGTCCTTTTCTTCCTCTTACCTGCCCTTGAACAATAGTGAACACCAGAGTTCAGTTTTTAATCCTTCCATCCTTTTTAAAAATTTTATCTTACATTTGAGATTTTGAGGGTCTCACCGGGCATAGTGGCACATGCCTATAATCCCAGCACTCGGGAGGCTGAGGCAGAAGAATTGCTGCAAGTTTGAGGCCAGTCTGGGCTACATAATGAGTTCAAGGCCAGCCTGAACTACATAGCAAAAAAAATTTTTTTGAGGGTCTCTGTCGTTGTTGCCTAGACTAGGTTCAAACTTGGAATCCTCTTACTTCAGTCTCCTAGAGTGCTGGGACTACAAGTATGCACCACTATGCCAAGCTTATCTCTCCTTTTATGCAGTATCATTCATTTCCCCAGCCTCAGTGGTCATCATTATACACTGATAACCTCCAGATGCATACCTAGGCCTGGTCTGTTGACTGAGCTTTCCAGAATCCGATTTGTCTGCCAGACTTCTCTCCCTGGAGTGTTTCTTCTCTTCAGTGTATGCAAAATTAACTGTAGAGAGGCTAGCTTTACCTCTTTTTCTATAATTCTCCCTACCTTTTTGGTTCTTTAAATATTATCAGGACTAAATTATTTGCATTGTATTTTTTCTTTTCTCTCTCTCTCTCTCTCTCTCTCTCTCTCTCTCTCTCTCTCTCTCTTTCATACTGGGGATTGAACCCACAGCCTTTACACTGAGTAACATCCCCAGCCAATTAAAAACATTTTTATTTTGGGACAGGGTCTTACTAAATCACTAAGTTGCCCAGGTTGGGCTCTAATTTGTGATCCTCCTGCCTCAGTTTCCCAGAGTGCTAGGATCATAAGCATGTGCCACCATACCCAGCTCACCATACATCTCACCGTAGATCTTATTTGTCACACTGAGGCCCATAGTGTGAATTCTCTTTTTTTCCTTGTACTGGGAATTGAACCCAGGATCGTTGCCCTGAGCTCCATCCCAGACCTTTTAATATTTTTTATTTTCAGAAAGGGTCTCACTAAGTTTCCCAGATTGATCTTGAATGTGAGATTCTCTTACATCAGTCCCCCAAAGTGAAAATGTGAACCCTAACACTTGGATGCCTACATAATTCTCCTCTTGCTTTTCTTTGCATTCCATTCACTCCCACCACACAGGAACTAGTTTTAATTCCCTAACATTGTTATGCCTCCACATTTTAATGAGTGCTCTTTCCTCTGATTTGAAAACTCTCTACACCACTGTTGATTTCTCCCAGTTTAACCCTATTTTTCTTCAAGACTACCCTGGTGTTACCTTCTCCAGATGCTTTCTTTGATCCTCTCTTGACTGAGTTGGTAGGTGTTTCTCTTGTAGGTCCTCATAACACCCTGCATGCCTTACTACCATGCATCTGATTCACCTCTGGATTTTCAGCAAAAGGTTTGATAACAGCTGTTGGCCTGAGTTGCATCAGAAAGTTAACCTGGTCTTGATAACTTCTTGTTCCAATTATGACATCCATTGGCTACAGAAGCAAATATATATTGTTAGCAACCATCTCAACAAGCAAGCATCTTGGGGAATGGCAAAAGAAATACTGCAAGGGTCAGGCTCAGGAAACAGCTTTGGATGTTAATCCTTTACCTTACTGAAGATGGCATTGGAGCTCAGGCCATGTCTGCCCAATCACCTGACTTTTAGTGCCTCCTCTTAGAGCATTTTCTTTCATTTTGTAGATCAGCGGTTTGAGTGCTACATTTGCAGAGATTTTCTTGGAAATACTCCAGAGCAATCTTCCTGAAGGAGTAAGATTGTCAGTAAGGGAGGTAGGTGCTGGTTTGGGAAGCAGTCCCCTGGTGGCCTACTTGTGCTCAAAATAAGTAAAAGAACATTTGATGGTGGGGATGTAACTCATTGAGAGAGCTTGCCTAGCATGCCCAAGCCCTAAGTTTAATTCTTCACACTGGAAAAACAACCAAACAAAAATATCTAGAGTGCCTGGCTTTAGGAATTGTAAAGAAATATGGATAGTTTAGCCCAGTTAATAATCAAGGAAGCTATGCAGTCTAGTGGTGCTGTAGTTATTATTCTGGCTGTAGTAGTTATTAGAAGTAGTTGTTATTCTGTAGTTACTATTCTGAGGCATCAGGAATGCTTAATTCTATTTTCTCTTTGCTGTTGTGAACCACCGGAGCTGACCTCCATCACAGCATGTTGATGTTAGGGGGGAGCCCATGACATGCTAAAATTCTCTCCTTTTAAGCAGTTGTAAAGCAGGAAGAACATAGTTTAACACTACGTACAGTATAGCTGGGGATTTAGCTCATTGGTTCCGCTGCCTGTCTTGCAAGTTCAAGGTCCTGAGTTCAATCCCCGGTACCAAAAAAAAAATTATATACAGTATAATAAATCAGAACACAAAAAAATATACTTGAGAACAAAGTTTTCTGAGCCTTAAAGGCTTGATGTAGCCTGACTGAATATATTCAATAAACAATGGCAGCCAGAAGGAGGAAAGGCTGCAATGCATCAGGAACTTTAGCCTAAATGCTCTGGATTCCTTCCCAGGTGCCTCAGTGATCCTTCTTATGACACAGATCCAGCAAATCATGTTGGACTGGTACCATTGCTTCATGCAGCTCCCTTATGCATCAAGCTCTGGTTGTTAAGCTCTGGTTGTTATTTGGGTGTCACAGAGATCTGTGTACAGGGAGAAAATATGTTGATCATGCTAACTTAAAATATTTCAAATGAGTGTTATTTCCCATTATAAAAGGATAATTTTTACTTTTAAAGAAAAAATGCTTCAGGCTAGGAGTATGATTAATAGGGAGCTTGCCTAGCACGCATGAGGTCCTGGGTTTGATCCCTGGCACTGAAAAAAAAGAATTTCTATTGTGATACTTATAGCATCTTTTTGTTTGTTTTGTTTTTTGAGACAGGGTCTCAGGCTGGCCTTGAACTCACTATGTAGCCCAGGCTGTCCTCGAGCCCATGGAAATCCCCTTGCCTCAGCCTCCCAAGTAATAGTATTACAGGCATGCACCACCACACCTGGCACTTGTAACATCTTGACATTGGTCCTTTATATATCTGCTCACACCAATCTCTATGTCAATTGAAAGCAAAGAGGAAGTCTTTGAATCCCTGGTACCTCATACAAGTCTGGGACATATCAGATACTCAGAGTTAGCCTAATCTGAGTCATTCTCTCTGGAGCTTGCTAATGTGCCCTTTTTGTTTTTTTGTGGTTTTTTTGGTACCGGGAATCGAACTCGGGTCCTTGAGCTTGCGAGGCAGGCGGCAGAACCACTGAGCTAAATCCCCGGCCCTAATGTGCCCTTTTTGGATGCTTTGCATTTATAGGTTACTAGAAGCTGTGTGGTAACTACCACTTATTTTCTTTTTCTTCTTCCTAGCACACTGAAGAAGACTTCAAGGGAAGGTTCAAAGCTCGTCCAGAACTGGAAGAACTGCTGGCCAAGTTGAACTAGCTCTCACAGACTCTTTCATAATGGCGCTGGTGATACTCCCAAGAAGAAAAGCTTCCTGGGTGGTTAGACTTAATCAGAAGGAGAACCTGACCCTTAGGCTTTATTTCTGCCTTTTTCCTACAAACAGGAATGTTTCCTCTGCTCTGGCATGGTTGTTACCTTTGAGATAACCTGGAGTGTCCCTCATCTAATAAAAATCAGTGACTACTGGTGGTGGTGGTGGTTGTGTGTGTGTTAGAGGGAGAAAGGCCATCCTGTGGAGCAATTCTTTAATTAACGGGTTCTATTTTCTCTTTGCCTGATGCTTTAGCACAGAAACATGTTCCCTTCCATTTCTTCTTTTCTTTTTTTTTCTTTTTTTTTTTAAGTAGGGTCTCTTGTATAGTACAGGCTAACCTTGAACTTGTAATCCTCCTGCCTCAGCCTCTCAGATACTGGAATGACATGCCTGGTTCCATAATTCTTCAGTTAAAGTGTACTCTTTCTTTTAGGCAACCTAGCATGGAGTACTACATAGTGAAACAGAAATCATAGCATAAGTAAACTTTCTGTATTAGTCTGTTTTCTGTTGCTATATTGAAATACCTGAATTTGAGTTCTTTGTAAATAAAAGAGATTTATCTCACAGTTCTGTGGGTCCAAGAGCACAGCGCCAGCATTAGCTTGGCTTAGGTGAGGGCAGCTTTGGCTGTGTTACAATATAGCAGATGGCATCATGCAGAAGCACATGAGAGAGGGAGAGATCACATGGTGAGACAAAAAAAAGAGATTGAGAAAGAGCTGATCTTTCTCTTTTTATATCTAACCACTCTGGACCTTGCACTTGTGAGGCAGGTGCAGTGCCACTGAGCTAAATCCCTAGCCCTGGAGGTTTTTATATTATACAATGTGTAGTTAACAGGAACATAAAATATCAATACCACCTGGCTCTTTGTAGAAACAGTTTGTCAAATCCTTGTCTTAGTCATTGTCTCAATGTTCAGCAAGCATCAGGATCCATGGCAAGGGAGTATTTAAAGCACACATTGCCCAACTTCATCCGTTGGTATTCTGATTTCATGAATATGAAATGAGGTTCTAGAATTCACATAGTAGAAGTTCCCAAGTGATGCTGATGCATCTGGCCCAGGGTTACAACCTCTTTGAGAACTGCTTGTCTAGGTGACCACCAATGTTCTTTTCTGAGCATTAATGCATTCATACTTTTGTGCAGAATAGCTGTTATTTATTGAGCTAGACCTTGTGCTAGTACACATTAATCCTCCCACCAGTCTTACAGGGTGTGTGCATGTTTGTATCTGTGAATGAGTATCTGTGTGTGAGTGCATGTAAGTATGTGTGTGTGTGTATCTCACATTTATTGAGCTCTTACTATGCTCTGTACTTCATACAAATTATCTTTGAGGTTGTTGATGTCCCAGTTTTTGGAGAGATGAAGTGACTTCCTAGGCAGTGATGGTGAACCTTATAGAGCTTTCAATGATACAAACAGTTCACTGTAGCACACACCATAGGTTTGCCACCACTGTCCTAGGGTCACACAGCTAATAAAAAGCAAAACCCTATGCCTGTAATCCCGGCACTCTGGTAAGCTGAGGCAGGAAGATCCCATATTCAAGCTAGCTCGGACAACTCAGCAACTTAGTTCTACTGTATCTCAAAATTAAAAATAAAAAAGGACTGTGGATGTAGCTCAGTGCAAAGTTCCTAAGTTCAATCCCTAGTACCTCAAAAACAAAAATCTTTCCTCCCTATTTCTTTCCTTCTCTGGGGTACCCCTAGCACTCACTATTTCACATACTCTTCTGAAATTTGTCAGCATCAGCCCTGAAGTTATTTTAATTCTTTTGTTTGGTTTCCAAAGACCACAAGAAGAAAGTGAGATTTCCTTCCAAGGTGTAACACTAAGGGAAGACTGTCAAGATAGCAGGTGCCTTTAATTAAAATGTTCTTCTGAATTCAAATGGAAGGTTCAGCAGGCCAGAAGTTCCAGGTGAATCCCACTGGGAGTATGGGCAGAGTTTTCCAGTGAGGACTTATATTTTTGACGTAGAACTGCTCATTGCTGAGTTTCCTTTAGGGAAGATAAAAGAGCAAAAGCTAATGGATGAGTGTGAAGTGGGGGTGTGTGTATATGATATAAAGATACAGAAGTAAACAAATACAAATATCACCCTCTTAGCACATGGGTAATCAGCAATGATGTCACGTGGGCTCCAGGAACCTGGAAAACACATTACTCTTTTCCAGTTGCCCAGTTTTTCTTGTTATCAATATGTGGAAGCAGGACTCGAGATTTCATAAATTGATAAGATAAGGGAGTTGGAAGACCTTAGGACCTAGCCAGCCTTATTGTCTCTATTAACAAGTGCAGGTTTATGGCAAAAGCAGTACTTTGCCCAAGAACACAGGACATCTCATTAGCAGGATGGCAGCAAGATTCAGATCTCCCATTCCCCAGTCCATCCCTTTCCATTTCATCATTGAGGGATGAGTCAGGATTATTTCTTAGATAGGAGGTGACTTGATTCTACCACCTTGGAGCTCTTGTGTCACTGACCTAGCTGATGAGCTATGCAGGAATGGAATGGGTGGTTTCCTTATAGAAAAATGAGAAGTGATGGCAATTGTTATGAATAGAACATAACCCCTGACAGGAGGCATTATTCAGCTCTGGCAAATATCATCATGTAGAATATAAACTCCAAGTTTGCTGACAGCTTGTCTACTTTTCAAAAGCTGAAGATGTTTTTTGGTACTGGGGAATCAAACCCATGGTACTCTGCCACTGAGCTACTTCCCCAGCCCATTTTATTTATTTTTATACAGAGTCTCCCTAAATTGCTTAGGTGAATACTCTTAAGTGAAATAAATCAGGCACACATGTTTAAATACCGCATTGTCTCTCTGGTGTGAGAAACTCAATGTGGAAATAAGGACTGAGGTGTATAATGGATGTTTGGAAATGGAAAGGAAGTGTTCAAATGGGAAGGGGAACAAGGGAGATGGGAGGGAAAGAGGAAGGTAGTGACAAGAAAAAAGTGAAAATAGAAGGAAAAAAATGGAAACAAAGCTTTTTTACATAGGGAGGGAAAAGGGCTTGAGGGGGGGAAAGGGATAAAATATATTTTAAAAATTTTAAAAATGTATAACTGATATTGTGTAACAGGAAGAAAAGGTCTAAAAGAGCAGGGGAATTGTGAGGGGTAGGGGAAGGGAAAAACGGGAAAGGAAAAAATATGAGAAGAGGAAAAAAAATGGAAACAGGGTCTTTCCAAATATGGAAGGGTGGAGGGGGTGAAGGGAGGGCAAGGGAAGAGGGAAAAAAAATAAGAACCAAGATACTCATGTAATGGTACAAGATCCCAATGATGAATGTAACTATTTTATACCGAAAATGTACCAATAAACTTAATGGGCGGCGGGGGAAAGAAACCCTGAAAATAACTCAGTCTTTATCCCCAACGTGTCTTTCTTCTCTGGGAGCTAATTCCCTCAAGAAGGGCTGAGTGTAGCAATTGTAGGCAGAAAGATTTCTCCAGTTACTTTTGCAGGCATCCCTCTCTCCTTTATTGTTGGGAGGAGTGTGTAACTGAGTAGAAGCCAGGAAAAGCAGTAGGTATTTTGGGGAACTGGAATAACGGAGTCCCTGCTCACAGGGATTGGAATAAAAATCTTTGGGAGTCCCAAAAAACAATAAAATAATGAAACATAAAATTTTTTTTTAAAAATTAAGAAATTCACACACAAAGTAAATAAATAGCTTAAGTGTCTTGAACTTGGGATGCTCCTGCCTCAGTCTCCTAAACTGCTATGATTTTAGGAATGTGCTACCACAGGCCAACTTTGTGTATGCTCAATATCTGTTGAAAAATAATTTTCCTGTTTGCATTCTTCCTTTCATTAAACTGATGAAACATCGAAATCAGGTGATGAGTGATAAAGGCACTTATTGTTTGAAATGAAGTTAGTTGTTCCAGTGTTGATTTATTTCCATCCCTCAAACTAGACCCCAAGCGACATGAAGGCACAGGTCACATTATTCTTCACATTAGCTCCAACACAATCCTTTAGGAAAACTTGCTGTTGTTGAACCCACAACTGAAGAGACAGACCTGATTAGGTTGTGAATTTGCTTATAAAATTAAAATGTCCTTATCATCTCAGTTCTTACACACTGACCCAAGAAGTGGGGTGGGGAGCACACCCTATACCACTCTTTGTTTTCCATGGCAAATATTGGTGGAACAAGATGGGTGAGGATGTGGGATATCTGACCATTAAAATATGACAGGTCTTTATGAGTCATCCAAAGTCCTCATGTGTGATTCTCAAGTCTAGTCCCAAAGACTATTTGCAAGTTTTACACCTCCTGGCTCATACTTCAGGACTTCTTCCTCCCATGATCTCTCTGGGTGCTGATTTCTGCAGAGCCATCCTCTTGGGGCAGGTGGTATGAGGTCTCAGTGGTGGGCACTGGCTTGTTCTTTCCTCCTCTGCAGCTCCTCCCGTCGCTTTGCCTGCTGTTCATTCATGCAATGCCTGAATGCCTGCACCTGTGGCTGGCACTGCCGCCAGTCCTGGTGCTGGGCCATGCACTCCTGCACTGCAAAGTGCGCTGCAGCACAACCAGAGCGGGAGATGAGCTGGTCCAGTGGGTCTTCTTCTTCTTCATCTTCCTTCTTCACCCGTTGGGCCCAGTTATGGCCTTGAGGGACTGAGGCTGACATCTTGCGGAGTCTAGACACAAGGTTTAGAGTACAGGTATGATTAGATAAGGTTCCTATATTTTATTTATTTATTTATTTAGTATCGGAGATCGAACTCGGGACCTTGCGCTTTCGAGGCAGGCAGTGGAAACACTGAGCTAAATCCCCAGCCCAAAGTTCCTATATTTTAAATAGCACCAACTAAACTATTCGATTATATCCTGCTTATATGTTTGTCTCCCCTAGAAGACAGCTCTCGGAGAACAGACAGTGAGCCTGTTTTATCTTGGTGCCTCAGCAACAGGCCTGGCAGAGAGCAGGCCTACAAAATGGTTTGAACTGAACTTAACAAAATAAAAACTATATGGAAATGCTTTACATAGCACTCAATAAGCTCAATGGATTCTATTAATGGACTATAAATTATTATGTGAAATATCATGTTTTTGGGAAAGCCATCTCTGATCTGCTTCAAAAGAACCTTTCTTCTTTTCTTCCACTTGCCTTATTCTATGCTTGAAGAACAAAATTCCCATCCTTTTCATGTCTTCCTAGTCCAGGCCAGACGAGGTACCATAGACGGGTACCCAAAGGGTAGGTTTTGACACATGGGAGGAATGGATAGAGTTCAATATGGCTGTAACATAGACTTTGCAGAGGCCAGAACAAGAGATGAGTCTATGGGAAAATGGAGACCACTCTCTCAACTATTCCCAAAGGTGAGGGCTAACTGTATTTGTCCAGATTGTTTTTCCAACATCATCTACTTCAGAGCACCCAGAAGAAAGTAGTAAGAAAAGAAAGGTTAGAAGATAAATGACTTTAGACTTTGCACAAAGTTAGCCATAGTAGACTTTAAAAGAGCTAGAAAGACACCTCAGTTCTTCTCCCGTGTCTCATTCATTCAAGAGATTTTTTTCCCCTAGTGCTGGGGATCAAACACAGGACCTCACAGATGCTGGGCAAGTGCTGTACAACTGGGCTACATACCTAGCTCCAATAAATGAGTATTGAGTATCTACCACATACCACTCACAATGTTAGAGTAAATAGGAATAATCAAGCCAGATAGGGTCCCTGCTTTCATGCATTTACGAACTAAAGAAGTAAACAGCTTACAACAGTGAATCCAGATAGCTAGGATTGGGAACACAGTGGAGGTATATGTAATCCAGACAAGGATAAGAGTAGGCAGGGAAGGCTCGCCTGGAGATAGTGATTTCTAAGCTAAGACTCAAGGGAAGAAAAGGAGTCAGCCAGAGATGAGAATAATATTTCTGGCCAACAGAAGAGTGAGACAGAGTGTGACACATGACAGGAATCAAAAGTTCAGCAAAGGGCCAGTGGCACCGCGCCTGCCTTGCAAGCGCAAGGTCCTGAGTTCGATCCCTGGGACCGAAAAAAAAAAGTTCAGCAATAGCCAGGCAGGGTGGTGTGCACCTGTAATCTCAGCATTCTGGGAGGCTAGGGAAGAAGGAACACAAGTTAATAGCCCAGCCTGGTCAACTCTGTGAGACCTTATTTTAAAAAAAAAGTGAGAGAGGGGAAAAAAGACAATAGAAGGAAAAAATGGAAACAAAGTTTTTATAAATAGGGAGGAGTCAAAGAGAGGGAAATGGGAAAAAAGGAAGAAGCAAGATGTATCTTGTACAGGCACAAATTCCCTATGATGAATGTTATCATTATGTATATCTAAAATGTACCAATAACTGTTTCCCTTCAAAAAGCGGGGTGGGGCTGGGGATGCTGCTCAACGTGAAGGCACTGGGTTCAGTACCTAATACTGCAAAAATGAATGAATAAAGGAATGAATGAAGTTCAGTGACTAAGGATGCAACTCATGGCAGAGTGTGTCCAACATGCATGAGGCCCTGGGTTTGATCCCCAAGCAACACACAAAGCAAGCAAGCAAAACAAAACCTTCAGTGGCTGAAAAAAATATGAGAACAAGAGGAGAAATAAAAATTAGCAAAATGACTGTGCATCTGAGCATAGAAAGGCTTAGTAGGCCAGGTTTAGAACTTTGAGACTTTTATCCTGATGACATGAGGAAGTCACAAGAGGGATTTAGCACTCTGTATCTCTACACAAAACTCATGTTTTGGAGGCAGTATAATTTGAGAGAGGAAATGGCTTCGAAAGAAGAATGGATTTGCTGAGTGTGGTGGCACATGACTGTATTCATCACACTCAAGGCTGAGGCCAGCCTGGGCTGCATAGAGAATTCAAGGCCAGCCTGAACTACATAGCCAAACCCTGTCTCAAAAAAAAAAAGCATGGATTTAACTATAGCTTTGTCACTGCCTCCTTTGTCCTTAGGCAAGTCACTTAATAATCTCATTTGAAAAGGATATGGAAATGTTTGTAAAATGACTGGTACAAAGAGTTCAATAAATGATGGCTACTAATAGGGTGCGGTGGTGCAGGCCTGTAATCCCAGCACTCGGAGGCCGAGGCAGGAGGATCACTTTGAGTTCGTGCCAAGCTGAGAGCCTAAACTACGTAGAGAGATCTCAAAAAAAAAGAAAAGAAAGAGTTCCTATTAGTATACATGTTTTCTCTTCCTAAACATTGTGAGCTCTTTAAAAGACTGGGAGCAAATTTTTTAGAGTAAGAACGGTGGGACGGAAAGGCCTTGGACCCTAAGCCAAGAGATGCTTAGTTCGAATCCCAGTCATCCTTTACCAGGTAATCCTTTTAGCTCCCACATAAACAATACTTAACTTGCAGAAGTAGAGTGAAGGTTAATATAATGAGTGAAAGGTGCTTTGGACTACCATAGAAGCCAGTATACGCTAGTAGTCTTCTCCCACCAAATCATGTTTTCAGATTTCCCTGGAGTAAAATGAGGACTACTGCGGTTCAGAGATCAAGGCAGGCTAAATGGTTGGCAGGTGAACTGTGGAAGGAAGGCAGAAATAGATGGGCAAACAGAAAACCCCAAGGACTAAGGTCGCTGGAAGCACCTTTCCCACTTTAAGGACAGGACGCATGCGCGCGTGCGGCATTGCAGCGCACTCCAGTTGTATCCCCGCGAGAGGACGTGGAATGCAGTGCTCACCAAAACAGGTGGCAGACGAAGACCCGCACACACGCTCGCTCCTGCGGCGAAGACTTTCCAAGCAGTTAGCAGTCTTCCGTCTCTATCCCCAGAAACCGGTTCCTTGTGTGCTCGCACAAGGAAGGACGTGGGAATCCCACTGCGCATTTTCATTGGTGGCCTCTCATTGTAGGCCACCGCCCTCCGCCCTCACCGCGACTGTTTTGAGAGCCCTACATCCGGGAAAGGACGGAAGAGGCGGGCTGGTGGAGGCGGGGTCAAGATGGCGGCGCCTTTGAGGATTCAGAGCGACTGGGCCCAAACCCTCAGGTGAATGCCGCCCTAGCAGGGGCAGAGAAGACGGGTAGTGGATGTTTACTTTGCATCAAGGAAAGCCATGTTTGGCCCACGGTACCCATAAGAGTTACCCGATCAATTGTTGAGGGAACTGGAGGTCACAGGGTCTAGAAAAAGAAGTTCAAACCCGCATGGTCATGGGTTTTTCGCTCTGAACAGCTGTCCTGAGCCCTAGGGAACACGTAAGCGCTGTGTGATTCCTGCGTCAGAGCCAGGATCAATGAGTTGGACAAAAGGAATTTGGGAGCTAGGAATACTCTTGGCCGAGGAGTCATCTGGAAAATAGTTATTGGTCAGGATTTACCTGCAAAAGTTTCAGTACTCACCACTGCTATATAATGGAGTCTTTGTATCTTCCTGACTGTAACGCTACATTAGACATAATGGACGATAATGGACGATTCTGTTCAGGAAACAGTAACACCTGCCATGTCCAGGCCCTGTGCTAGGTGCTAGACGGAGCTCACATATGTACCTTAAATTTAAGTGATGATTCCTGCCCTTATGACATTTTAATTGGAACTGCTCACCAATCTGTTCATCCATTTAATATATATTTATCGATCTTGTATTGTGCCAGTCATTTCTCTAGGCATCAGGATGAATACTTAGTGCTATAAATGAACAACCATAAGAATTTTTAAATTTGAAACGGTGGAAATGAATGAAACATATCCTCCTGCACTTAAAAATTTATACCTTGTTATGTGGGTTTAAAATATAACACAAATTATTAGAACATAGAATGTGATAAGTAATAAAGGAAGAACAATAATATATATTCAGTGCTGCAAAGTGCTTATGAGAAAATGTAGGGTCCATATCAGAGGACAACTGATTAAGATTATGCGGTTGGTCATGTGATTGAATGTTCCTATCAATCTAGAGCTGTCTTTTTTTTTCCTCCTTTGTTGTACTTGGAATAGAGCCAGAGCCTTTGCTCTGAACAACATCCCCAAGGCCCTACCCCCTTTTAAAAACTATTTTGATCTTGCTAGGTCTCTGGGCATTAACTTGTGATATTCCTGCCTCTCAGAGTGCTAGGATTACAGACATGTGCCACCACACCCAGTTTAGATCTTTCTGTTTTAAAAGTGTAGGCCTTCAGTGTTAAGAGTGCAAAGATCAGAATTTGGAAAATTGGGGGGGGGGGTGTTGCTCTAAAATGTCAAAAGTCAGTGTAAGGTGTTAGAAGGTATCTTATTGTGTAGTAATCCCAGATTTCAATTCCTACATAATAGCTAGATGACTTTGGGAAAATCACTTCTCTCTTAAATTTCAATTTTTAATGTTTAACACGGGAATAATAAAGTATCTCGTTTGGTGGTTGTGAGGATTAATGCAGTGTGCCTTGCACAGGATCTGGTTTACAGTAGTCCCAATAAATACCTAAATATAAATAATCTTGGATTTTTCAGAGTGAACTCTGTTAGTGAAAGTATTTGAGCATTGATTTTACAAATATCTCTTAAATACTCCAAGTATTTATTGTTTCAAGTAAACAAATTTGAATGTCTTAGAAGAATCTATGCTTGATGTTAGGTAGACTAAATTGTGTCTAAGTACTATGAACAAACTGGAAATTATATGACCTTTTTCCCCCTTTTGTACCAAGGGCATCCTATTCAGCTTTGTAAGAGCATAATTAGGCTTTTGTTTGTCTTCATAGGAAAGATGAAGGGGAGGCCTGGCTGAGCTGTCACCCCTCAGGTAATGCTCATAAATCTATATGGTCTTGCTTTAAAGAAGATTTACTACTCATAGAACAAAGCTCCCACTTTCTGCTGGTCCGGCTTGTTTGCACATGCTCATAACTTTTGACATTACTCTCATACCTCCATTCCAGGAGAAGGCCTTCAGATTGCTGTTCTGTTTGGAAGCCACAGCCATTCATGGAATCATTGCTAATGTATCTTAATCAATCCCTTGGTTCTGTGGTGTCATATTCTAAACACTTCTACAGCTTTAGTTGTGACCGTATTAAAATAAATAAATAAATAAATAATAATTCCACCTATAAAAAAATTGTGACTTTACTGATGATAATTAGACTTATAGTGTTTGCCCTGACCTCTCTTCAGATGCAAGCAGAGATTGAACAGTTTGCTAGACATTTCTGCTTGAAGTTCTCACTGTTGTATTGAGTAACTTGGCTTTAGTACTAAAGTCCCTGGACACATTTGTAATCAAATGGATTCTCTTTCTTGATTTTCTCTTTTTTCTTTCCTCTTTTCTGTACCAAGGATTGAACCCGGGACTACATTCTATTACTGAGCTACATCCTCATCCCTTTTTATTTTTTATTGTGAAACAGTGGCTCATTGAATTTTTCAGGTTGGCCTTAAACTTGTGATCCTCCTGCCCCAGCCTTCCAAATAGCTGGGATTACAGGTGTGAGCTACCACATCCAGTGATTTTCTTATTGGTTCAGTTGCTGTCATTCTTCTGTGAATCAGAGTGAAAACTTAATTACTTCACCCATACAGCTGTCAGAGTCTTAGCAGTTTTTCCCCTGAATGGTACTCCTATGTTGTTCTTGACTATTCAGTTTGCATTATAGCCAGTGTGGTACCATTCCAAAGCCAAACCACCTTCCTTCTAAAGTCTTTAAGAAAGTTTTGTTTTACTGTTTGTCATTTCACATGTCATTGCTATATTTTATTTCTGTGAAAAGTTAAGTTTTAAACAGTGTTCTGAGGAAATTGGTGCTGCCTAGACAGAGAGAGTGGTAGCTAGAAGAACTTAGGGGCTTTGTTTTGTTTTTCAAAGATGGGAAATTGAAGAAAATAATTTTTAAAATATAACTTGAAGTTAGGGTAGAGAAGGACTAACTGAAGTCTTAGAGGAAAGAGGAGATTTAGCCTAAGAGACTAAGATGAAATAAAATGAAAGTGCAGATATAGATAAATGCGTAAAATGTGATAAATGTGAAAAAGTAAATTGAGGGTATCCTACAGCTTCGATTTCCTTGTGAAGTTACAGCTAGTGTCAACTCATAAGGAAGAAGGTATTTTTGTTTTTTAAATAACAGCTTTATTGAGATAAAATGTGTTCTATATGTTAGTTACTTTATATATATTTCACTTCATATTTCATATCCTTAGCATAAGATTCCGTATTAGATCTTCTCTATTCAAGACTTCTACCCTAAATTGTGAGTTCCTTCATGAGTTACCCTTCACCTACCTTTTCTTTTTTTTTTTTTTTTTTGTACCGGGGGTCGAACTTGGGACCTTGTGCTTGCAAGGCAGGTGGTGGAACCACTGAGCTAAATCCCCAGCCCTCACCTACCTTTTCCATGACTGCTATGACCAAGTTGATGCATTCATTGATGCCTCCTTTCCTCTTGTTCTGTTTGACTTTCTTTTATACATGCTATATGTATAAGTGCATCTCCCCTTCTCTTCTGTCCCTTATCTTAATCCTAACCAGGATTCCTTTCAGAACCTCTAGAAAGCCTCCTTTATGTGAATCCATGATGGTTTCTACTTCTCTCTTACTCCTAGAACTTATGTTTGGTGCAACACTTATTTACTGAGTAACGTATAGCTGTTTCTGAACTCAAAGACTCTAGAGTCTAACCAAAAAGCCAGGCATACAAATTGTGTTATGGGATATTACAGATGTGAATATATAAAGTTCAAAAGAAGAATGGAAAACTTTTTTTTTTTTTTGAGACAGGATCTTGCTATGTAGTTCAGGCTATCCTTGAACTCACCATATTGTGCAGGATGGCCTGGAACTCTCAGGGATCCTCCTGCCTCAGCCTCCCGAGTGCTGGGATTACAGGCATGGACCACATGCTCAGCTGGAAAACATTTTTAATTTCATTCTTCCATCTGCATATATTTATATGAGGGATAATATTTCACTTAGCTCATATGACTGCTAAAATCAGTATTCTACTTAGGGAAATTTTCCAGGTTACTGAAGCTTAATTCTTCACTATGTATTATATAGTATATATACTGTGGATAGATACATATATACAGGTTGGACTTCCCCTTTCACCCTAGAAGAATTCCATTTCATGGCCAGTAAAGGAGATTGCTATCACTCTAGCAGATTTTTCTACAAATATTGTATCTCTCAATCTTTGTTCCTGACTTTTTAAGTCTTTTAAATTAGACTTGCTCTTTCCACTTTCAATACAGGTATCTTTTTGTTTTGGGGGCCAATTTTATGGGCATACTATCTATATAGATGCCTGAATTCGGTTTTCAAGAAGCAGAATATTTTTTTGAGACATACTTCTGTTGTGCTGTATAGGGAAACCATCTTTGTATGGCAGCCTAACTTGTCAAGGAATTGGACTAGATGGCATCCCAGAGGTTTCAGCTTCGGAAGGATTTATTGTGAATGAAATAAATAAGGTAGGTTTTTATTTCTTCTAGATGGCAAAATATTCAAAACTATGGTCAGACCCATATATCTACTTCAGATCTTTATATTGTTATCTGTGTTTCTGTGTCACCCCCAGTTCTTTTGTACAATAATCATATTTTTTGCTACCTTTGAATGTTAAGGATTTTCTTTTTCTCTTTAGTTACATTTACTTTTTTTTTTTTGGTACCAGGGATCAAACTCGGGACCTTACACTTGCAAGGCAGGCAGCAGAACCACTGAGCTAAATCCCTGGCCCCTAGTTACATTTACTTTTAAATGGAATCAGATTTCCTCTAACTTCCCTTATACCAGTTCTGATAATGCATGTATATGTTAAATTTTCTAGTAGCTATATTAAAAAGGTAAAAAAAAATAGATGAAATTAATTGTAATCTCTTAATTAACTCAATATTTCTAAAATATTTCAATTTGTAATTAATATGCAGATTTATTAGTGAGATATTTTACTTTCCTTTTCTTTTTTCTTTTTTTTTTGGTACCAGAGATCGAGCTCAGGTCCTTGCGCTAGCTGGCGGAACCACTGAGCTGAATCCCCGGCTACTTTCCTTTTCTTAAAATTTCAAAATCCCTCAATTCACAGCACATCTCAGTTCACACTCATAATTTTTGTTGGAAATATTTAATCTGTATTTACATTTCTTCAAATTTACAACTGAAAACAGAGTCACAGGTGGTGAATATGGGGGTGTAGCTTCGTGGTAGAGCACATATTTAATATGCAAGAGGTCCTAGATTCAATCCTCATATACACAAGGAAAAGCTCCATTGTTTTAGCTAAGTGTGTGTGCCTATTGTCCCAGCTACTCAGGAAGCTGAAGCAGGAAGATCACTTGAACCTAGGAATGGAATTTGGGACCTTGTGCTTTCGAGGCAGGCGGTGGCACCACTGAGCTAAATCTCTGGCCCCTTGAACCTAGAATTTTGGAGCCAGTGTAGGCAACTTTTTTGGGGGGGGGATGTAGGATTTCATTATGTAATTCAGGCTGGCCTTGAACTCACTGTGTACCCCACGCTGCCTGGAATTCGCTGTCCTCATCCTGCCTCAGAGTCTCAAGTGCTGGCATTACAGGTGTGCGCCACCATCCTTGGTGGCAACATAATCTCTTAAAGAAACAATAG